CAAAAGGCAGCCTGCTGCTGTCCCCCCATACTCACTTTGTGCCTCCTTCCCTCTAATAGCTGGGTAAATGTTGGTTCAGCTTTTGGGTCTGACAAGAAGAAAGAACAGTGATCTGTCACACTTCTCTTTCCATGTTCTTGCAGTAGTTGGAGCCTTTTGCAGCCTTGCAGCTGCTCGTGGGGTTTGCACTCTCTGCTGGAGGGTAAATCACGTGGGAGGTGTCTTTGGCCAGGAGATCCTGGGAATGGAGAACGTGCCCCACGTGTGGTTGGAAGTGGCCTTTGAGGGGAAGATTCACAGCACCAGCCTCGTGTGCATCTCCTCAGCAAGAGCCTTGGTTTCCTACCCCTGCCCGTTCACTGCCGTGGGGCTCCTGCAGTCTGTAGGGCCTGTCTGCAGCAGGATCTGCAGCAGGATCTGCAGCAGGGTTTTATTGTGCTCTCTGCTTTTCATTACACCACGTTTCTGCTATCAACATGTGAGCCTTTGTCAAGTGCTGGGAGTTGTGCCCTACGTTATGGGCTGTTCTCACGCTCACTCGTGGAATGGTTTGGGTTGGAAGAGACTTTTCATCTCCAGTCCAGCCCTTCCCCCAGCACTGCCAGGTCCCCACTGCCCCGTGTCCCTCACCCCACATCTCCACGGCTTGGACACCCCTCCCAGAACCCCCTCCAGGGGTGAGGACTCCACCACTGCCCTGGGCAGCCTGGCACAGCCATTCACAACCCTTTCAGAGAAGACATTTTTCCTAATATAATAGGAACAAGTATTTACTCCAGGATTTTGAGACCCACGTCTTCCATCCCTTCCCTTGGTGAGGAAAGCTGCTGGGCAGCTGCTGTGAGATTTCAGGTTCCCCATGGTCCTGTCTTGCCTTTGCAGATGGAGAAGGACGAGACCGTGAGCGACTCCTCTCCACACATAGCCAACATCGGGCGCTTGGTAGAGGTAAGTGCTGGGAGGCCACAGCCACACCCTGCTGCTCCCCTGCACTGCCCTCTGCCAGGGGGCTCCCGAGTCCCTCCACAGCCACTTTGGCAAGAGAGGAGGAGATTCTCAACTGAAATAGTCTATCGTGCTTTTTAAAAACAAACTAGGAAGTGAAAGGCAGGCAGGTTCCTCTCGTCTGGTCCCTTTTCCAAGGTTTGGGCTTGAGGGAAAGCAACCCAATGAAAAAATGCTGCTTATTTACAAGATCTTTCTCAAAACTGTTTTAACGAGGTGTTGCCAGCTGGAAAATGCAAAGTACCCACAGGCACAACGCTGCTGACCTGGGGGCTGTGCAGAGTGAAACTGGCCACTGTAGCCTGCTCGGTGCCAGGAGATCAGAGTGAGGCTGGAGAGAAGCTGCAACCTCCTCCTCCTCTGCAGCCCCAGGCAGAGGGAGCGATGGCTGGACAGAAAGTGCCCTCTCGTGGTGCTGACAGACACGTCATGGCCTAGAGTGAGGAGCTGGGAGGAGAGCACAGGAGAGAGCTCAGCCTGCCTGCCTTGGAGAGGAGCAGAGGGAGAGGGTCCCAGCGGGAATACGCTGGGATGAACCATCCCGTGGCAAGTGTTGGACGTCAGGGTGAAGGCACACACGGAGTCTGAGTGTGAACAGCCAGCTAAAAATCTGCTTTCTTACTTTTTTTTTCTCCTAGGACATGGAAAACAAAATCAGAAGTACACTGAACGAGATTTATTTTGGAAAGACAAAGGACATCGTTAATGGGCTGAGGTAAGGGGCTCTCCAGCTGCCTCTTGGACCCCTTCCCTCCCTGCCTGTGGTGCTGTCCCCAGCCCAGCACTGAGCTGCTTTTGTTTGCTGGAACTCCCCTTTCCTACACAAAAAGCTTTTCATGTCCCCTAATTGTTCACCTCCCTGTGCTGTTGTTTGTTGTGTGGAGTTTAGGGAACGCTTCTACCTTGTAACTATAGCAATGTTTTAATCCCTTGTTCTCTCACCAGGAAGAAAAGAGCCCAATTAACAGCACTTGGATCTCAGGATTATTTTTCATTAGGAGTTCTATTCTTTACAGTCTTGAAAGTTGTGCTTAAAAGTCTGGCTTTGCTTTCTGCTATTCTTCAAACCAGCCAGCTGGTCCCAGAATTAAGTCATGACATTAATGGTTTGTGGTATTCAGACTTTGTTTTAAATTCTGTCTTTCTCTCAACACCGCCGGTCAAAACCCAGCGCGCTAGAACAGATGAAGTGACTAAACCCCCTGGGCCTTTGTGGGGAAACTGTGCTGTACTTTTCAACCCCTGCTCATTTCTGGTCAGGAATTTTACATGGGAATCCCAAGCTGGTCGTTCTCATGCTCCTGTGGAGCCGTGGTGCCAAATCATTTCATTCTCCACTGCAGATGGATCTCCCAGCACAGCGTGGCAGCGTAGGATTACCCGGTGGTGCACCTCGGTGTGCTGCTGAGCTCTCCCCTGCTGGAACGTGACAGGAGATAGAGAAATGGTGCTAGTTAAATATTTGTGCTGCTGCCTCCAGAGCGTGGGCAGAGGGAGCTGGCAGTGTCTGAGAAAGCAGCTGTTTGGGAGGGATTTCCCAGACCCCAGCTTCCATAACAGGCCTTTATTTGCGTTCGTGGTGCGCAGGGGTTTAGCCAGGAAGCATTTATGAACATCAAAAGGAAATATGTAACACGTTCTTTTTCCTCCTGAACGTTGCCTTCAGCTTTTGTCACTGAATCTGTTTCCTCTGTCTCCCCATCGCTGGGTTTGAGTCATGGCCCTGTGCAGCAGTGAGGTGATCTGCTCAGAACTGGTAACACACGGAGCGTCCGGCTCTGCCTCCTCCTCGGGCCTCCCTCCTCTTCCTCCTAACCCGTGGTGTCACACTTCTTCCTCCCCAGCGTGCTCCTGGTGTTCCCAGCCTTCCAGCTCTGTGTTGCTGAGTTCTTCTGACTGTTCTTTTCCCTGTTTACTCCCCTGGTTTCTGAACTGCTCTCTGTAGATCTATTGATGCTATCCCCGACAACCAAAAGTATAAGCAGTTGCAGAGGGAGCTTTCTCAAGTGTTGACCCAGCGCCAGATCTACATCCAGCCTGATAACTAAACCAATCCAGGTACCCCTGCCTGTGAGGTGTGACAACCAGCACTAAACCAGGACTCACCCAGCCGAGACCTCTGCATGATAACCCAGACCAGAACTAACCCCTAACTCTGCAGACTGATGAACGACTTCCCATCCGTGTTTCACCCAAGGGTCGTCCCTTCGTGCGGCCAGCTCGATGCTGTGATTTTCATTCTCAGTGTTACCCCACCCCTTGCCCCCATGGGACATGTCACACTTGGACACGTGGCAGGGTTTAGCACTTTGCACTCTAGCTTGGGGGTGAGGAAGGAGCACGTGCTCACGTCCCCAGAGCGGTGGCAGCTTGGGCTGACCCGAGCCAGAAGCCCCGGGGCTCTGTCCCTTGTGCACCATCAGTTCTGCACAGCTCTGCTCAGCACCCCAGGGAGGGAACTCCCTGTCACCTTAGTGCCCTCCCTGCAGAAGGGAAGGAAAAAAGCTGTGCAGTTGTGCAAAACAAACAACTGATGGGTTCTTCCCGTGGCTTGTGAGTGAACGTGAGCTCACCCTGTGCACATCCACCCCCCCTTTGCCTGCTGTGTCGTGAATTTCCTTGGGACCCACCCCTGCACAAGCTGTGCTGAAACACTGCCAGCCTCACTCGCTCGTGCTGGGCACAGCCTCTGGAGGGGTGTGCTGGGAGCTCTGCAGGTCTGGGGCACAGGGCAGCCACTGACCCTGGGCCAGCTCAACCTTCCACTCTGCTCCGAAACCAGTCGCAGGCGTTGTCTCAGACACGTCCAGCTGACGAAGGGGAAGACTCACTATTGGGTGATAGTGGCCAAGAGCCACTTCTTTAGCCTGTGACAAGTGCAAATATCAAATGTATATATTTTTATGAAAGCAGTGGGAGTCTCCAGAGACAAGAGAATGGAAATACTGTTATAAAAGTGTTGGGGAAATAACTGACACAAAGAGCAGCCTTGTTTAGAGGAGACAGCATCCGGGCTGCCTCGAGTCCCAAAAAGGGTGTGAAATATGGTTTATGTGGGGAGCAATCCTGCCAAACTGGATCCTCACCCCTTCTCTGTGGTAGCAACCTCTGAGAAGTCCAGAGCTATCGTTCTATCAGTGATCATATCTAAGAGGGCTCTCTCAAAAATGGAAATTTGTTCTTGTACCACTGCAAACAGAGGTTCCTCCACAGCTCTCTGCCAGGGCAGTGAGGCCAGATTTTTTCTCCCAGAGCCCCACTGTTAGCAATAACCTTGCTGGCAGTATCTCTGTTCTTCAGCTGCTCCCGTTCCCCAGTTTCTCTAGGTAAGGCACAAACTGGGGGAGCAGATTTGGGAACAGAAACACTCTGGCTGTGTTTTCACCCCGGTGAATCCCCTGGGGGAAGTTGATTTCTGACGTGGGGCTGCTCGACCCTGGGTGAACAGTCTGCAAAAAGAAAAGGTTCAGGTCTGCCCCCAGCCCGGCCCTTTTCACCTTCCTGGGTGGAGGCTGGATTTGGGATTTTCTCTGCCTTCCTGTCCCGGTGGCTGGGAGAGGGAGAGCACTAACCCCCCCCTGCTGGTGGCACACTGGGGTTCTTCCCCTCTGCAAGGGAAGAACATTGGGAATACTCTTGGGAACCTGCCCCCAGCAGCTGGAGGCTGAGCGGCGCTTGGGGGGCAGCGTGTCTCTTGGTGCCTGGAGTGGATTTTGCTTGGATGTACTCACCGAAGTGTTCCCTTTGCCTCCCGCTTCCCCAGCGACGCAGGCGAGCTGAGTTTGGTTTCCTCTAGGCCTGGGCTGAGGTGCTTCTCCTTCCTCCTGCCTCCCGGGCCGGGCCAGCCGCTCAAACCACCTTCCCTCTGCCAGGCCTCGCCTCTCACTCGCCTCTCCTTCTTCTTCCCCCGCAGGTCTGTGCAGACTTTTGCAGACAAATCAAAACAAGAAGCTCTTAAAAACGACCTGGTGGAGGCTTTGAAGAGAAAGCAGCAAAGTTAAAATCCTCTTCCTGCTAACCAGACATGCCATGCACTCGTTAGATTCCTTTCGTAGAAAA